GAAGTCAGAAGTCAATTGCCGGTTAATAGACTTTTTTTGCCGTATGAGTATACGTTGCTCAGGGTGCACCACGTGGAGGTAGGTCTATCGCACACCCCACTGAATCATTGTAATTCGTTCCAAATTTGTTTTTCTGCCCTTGAACATTTATGACATGATTTTCATTTTGTTTAGATTCTAGACTACTTCGACGTCTGCATCGATCTGGTGCCTTCTCTTTAAACCACTGGAATGCAACTGCTGTTGTACAGTATCATCCGTCGACGTGGATTTCTAGTTGTCATTACTCCAACAGCCCCCGATCAACTATTGATCTACTCCAGAGGTCAAAATTGTAAGTTCTTTGCACTTATATCATAAACTAGACACTAGTCACTGTAATACCACTAGGCACCAGCTTAGATAGTGCTATGGTTGTTGTTATTCAAACCTCGCTGATTAATTGAAAAGAGGGCTAAATCTCGCAAGATATCCATCGTAATTAAGAAAAACAATGGCTCATGTGCGTCGGGATGTCCCGTCGTTTAGATGGCGAGATTAGGTTCCAATTCTCTAGAGTTAATAACAATAGTTGACAAATGGGAGTTTAAGTCTTCGAATAGTGTTCAATCAATTAAGCAACATATTCGTTCTAATCACTCTTTTTGTTAGTGTATGTTTGCAATCACGCATGGGTTGCTGGGACGCGGCGCACTTGATGACTGTACTGACATTAGTTATGATTGCTAATTGTTGTTGGTTGTGTTGTTAGGCAACAGGAGGCAGTACAACTTGATGAATATAAAGTAAAGCTGCGAATGAGACATCGTGTGGCACTCCAAGCATTGACGAAACACGTGTCTACACGTGTGCAGACAAATGCAGAGATGCAGGCACAAAAAAGGCACATATTTTCAGTATTTTTTTCGGATGTGAAGGTGTACATCTGCGATACGTATATATATATATATATATTCACCGCAAAAGTTGCCATTGTGAAGAGTGTCTCAAAGATGTATTCAAGAGAACCCAGGCAATCTTGAGGAAAAGTTGCGCATTTCTCACTTGACTTATTGCAGCTCTTGCTGTAAAGGTACAAACAAGTTCAAAGTCTGATAGAAGGCCGGGGGTGGGGGACATGACCCCGTTCTACTCATTGGTTGCTCTGTTTCCATAAGCTGAGTTATCGGTTATTAAGTTCCTGAGCTCACTCCTGGTTAGAGAAGATCATCACTGAAGCGAGTGTCGCTGCGATTGCTAACTAACCCGTCAGCCAGTCATCTCTAACACTTATCCAACTTGTCTTATGCGTATTCCCTTTGTCTGGACTACTGCAGGATTTTTTCCTTCTTTCTGACAAATGATTAGTTGTATCTTTATAAGTATTGTGACAGAGCAATATACAAATTTCATCTTAGTTTAAGTTCTTCCACATACTCCACATTCTAAACCATGTGATAAAGCTCACCAAAGAGATTTCCTTAAAGGAGAGGATGGAGTAATATTACTCTGATGTTTATTATAGGGTTCAGAGAATTCACAGCTAAATCTAGCATCATTTCCGAGTTCACAATTAATTAGAATTGGTTCCATAATAATCTTAAATACACATAACCATACTGGAGAACTGCTTGGAAAGGCATTTGCTCTAAGAAATCACAAATTTTTCAGACCCCTGCTAAGAGACATTGGCAATTCAATGGATGAGGGAGCTTCCGCATCAACCCTCAGCGTGTCCTCTTCAACCGGTCTCGTTGAAGCCTTCATCCTTGACACAGTGAGTACTTTATTGAAAAGTTTAACTAAATGTATATTTTGAATGAGTTTGAAGCCTGTTGTTAGCTATATCGTTAAAATCTATATCACTTGAGTGTACTCTTGCTAGCACTTCTATATTCCATCCGATGCTAATCTCATCCGCCTATCGATAACCCTATTATTCAGAAAATTTCGATAGGTATGTTTTTAATTTTTCAAGCATTTTGGCCATAATTTAAGTTTCCTCGTGTTTATTGGACTGGTTTAACGTTGAAACTGAGAATTTTACAACCTACTTGTCTCTATCTCAAATCGACCTTCCAGTTTGAAGAAGGAAAATGCACTCTCCTCATGTTGTACTAACTTCCCCTGCTATGTCATGATTCATTTTAGATCAAATGAAAAAGCTATAATCTAAAATATTTCAATAATAATGTTAAGAAAATATTTATTGATTTATTTACTTCAAATTGCAGGCTTTATGATAGTTATCATTAGCCCTTTAGCTAACTTCGGGCTTCATAGAGAGGAGAAGAAACAACAAGTCACAAAAGACGAGGGGGGGGGGACAGAAAAGTGATTCGATGATGTAAAAGAGATAGACAGACACCAAGGCAGAGAAAAGGTAAGGTGAGTACTGTTGAAGTGGTGGAATATGACATACAGTAGGGTCATGGTAGTTTGATGTTAGAAGTCGGCTGCCGTATGAGTATACATTGCCCAGTGTGCACGAAGTGGAGGTAACTCTACTGCGCACCAAATATTTATTAATATTATATTCTTAACAATATACATTGCTCTTTACACCAATGCAGCTGTATCTAATAAATTGACAACTACTACCTCTGGATTTAAATTGTTCTAATCTGACGAGAAAACGATTTCAAGAGGATAGGAATTTTAGCATTGAAACTAACTCGTTCTTTTAACGCATATTTTATTGATTTTAGTTTAAATTTTGACAATGGCGCTCCCACTTAATAATGCAGATCCCCTGTTTTCCTTTTGATCTATGCCAAGAATGGTTCTAGTATAGTAACTCTTTGAGTTCAATTTACTTAAATAATTTAAGTACAGTGAATCTAGAGCGCTTTCTGCGTCAAAATTTACGGGCTCAATAGCTCTTAGAGAATACTAAAAAATGTCAGATTTCTTACAGGCTGTAAATGCCTATTGAAAAATGGAGACTAAAATGATACGCCAAGTCGAAAGAACATGCTCATCTGTATTTGTCATACATATTTGTAGAAGTATGTTGTGGATCTACTTCGAGCGTGTTGCATCGGTGACAACAGAGCTGACTGCGGAGCACGAGGGGATATTCAATGGGTACACTGCCTTCTGCCAGTTGCTAGTGCAGGTCTCTGGCAAGTAGCACTCCCTAATCCCCCAGTCACCGCAGAAACCGGCTGCGTTTGTGTTCGGAAACCCCATGCTCGCTTCTGTGTAGCTCTCGTTCGGGCCCAGGTGCATGCCATTTCTCTGGCAACTGATCTCATCTACCTCAAATCGGCTTTCACTCAACGTCTCATGGAGTCAACTGAACCAACGGCCAATGAATCCGTTGAGGTATGAATTCCCAATCATAATTGTTTTTTTCTTCCTCTTCTTTCTTGAGAAGTTGAAATGCTAAAGATTGACCAAAAGTATGAGCATACTAAAAACAGATTAGGGTTTGGAAAATAATTGCAATACTTTACTTTCTAATGGAAGGCTCCAAACTGTTTCGCATATCGTATTAGAGCTTTTATCTGAAATACCTCGTAAATTCTTGTAATGAATTGCATGAATTCAAATAACCCGAAAACAAAGATAATGCCTTTTCGGCGAGTTATCTTTATTGTGTTGAAATTCGTAAATATGCATAATATTCGTGTAAATGTTTGGACTTATCTCTTCAACATAGAGCCTTAAACAGTATTTGTTGGGTATTGTCTTTTATCTTGTTGACCCTACTCAAAGATCCTGACCACCTCTTTCCTAACATCAAAAGTTTTTGCAAAGGTCTAAGTTTGACTGGAGAAGTTTATGCAAGGGAAGTCAATGCTCTTTCGAAATTCGATTTACTGCGCTTTTATCTCAATTAAAATTTGACGTCGAGAATCTGATGAATATGGTCTGTTGGGAAATTGATCCATCTCAATTCCATCGGATTTCTTTCTGCCACTTTCTTTTAAGAAAAATGAGACTCTTTACATGTATAACGACACTTTTAGACGCTGAATTACATAGTGGATTCTCTTTTCTGTGACCTCTAATGAAACCATCTACATCACAATTATGTGTTCTTTTTATGATACTCTTATGTGTCAACTGAGAGAAATGGTCAAAATGAAGATCATAATGTTGCTGTGAGGAAATTCAGTGGTATTTCAGCTTGAGCCACACATCTTTGTCATAGTCAGACATTCTTGAAGGAAACCCAGCTGAATATTCAAATTTAGCTTTGTTGTCAAACTCAGTCTCCACAGAGACGCCATCATCAGGCAAATCACTGGGAGGAACCCTTCGTATCACCTCAACTTCGTGCACTAAGTGAACATTGTTTCGAGTACATGATACAGCAAATCTCTATAGCTCTGCTATGGCCATCTTCCGGATCTGAGAACTGTCTCAGAAGAGCGCTGTCAAATATTTTCATTCTGTAGCTGAGACCTAAAGTTCGACTTGTCTTATCTTCCTTTTGCGCCAGACATTCTGCATATCATTCTCCTCATCTCATGTGTTATGAGGGGTGGTTGGATAATCAGTAATGACCTCATATCATCTGTCTCCGCATTCACATATCAGGTCATACCTCAATTCAGAAGATTCCACGACTAGAATAATATTCATTAGCCTTCCCGTTACAAGTGTCGGATATAGTAATACGAGAAAGATTCAATAGTTGTCCTTGACTGTATCTAAAGACGATCATTTCTTAAAAAACGGCTCACCTCCTCTTGGGCTCATTACCTACTAAACGTAGATTAAATCACCTCTTTCTCAATTTTCCAAGATTGTTGGTTCGCCACCCCACTCAATTTCGGAGGATTTAGTAACTGTAACGGAAGTCGCCGATCGAAGTACCAAAGATACGAGGACTCAAGATGAGGCGTTCAGCATTTTGTCACAGGAGAGGCCAAGCGCACTCAGTGGCACTTCAAAAGCCAGTTCGGAAGTCGACACAAATATTCAGTCCGATGCCACTGTTAATCACACTACCAATGGTAGGTAAAGTTGATAATTGATTTTCAATCTCCCCTCTCCCCTCTCCCCCCCCCCCCCCCCCCCCCCCCCCCCCCGCCGCCCCTCCCTGCCTTCATAAATGCCTTATCGTTACTGTTACAAGTCCAACACTGCTATCGATTTTATCATTATTTTATTTATGGAAATTGTTAAATAGTCTAATAGGTGGTAAATGAAAGGTGGTCAAACAGAGCATGCAATATGAGTGTAAAATGATTCATACGCCTTTCAATTTTTTGAAAGTAGTTTTTGCATATTTATAAACTGAATGCATTCAAACTGTTCTAGAGCACAAAGGTTATTTAATTGATCCCGTTGACAGTTCTAAAATCAGTACTTCTTCCTAATAATTCAGACACTATTTGAAATAAATCTACTCATTAATCAGAGTTTCTTGCCAATGAGATGGATTCGTCGTCTACTATTCACTGATGTTCTTATATAGTAATGATATTATATTTATGACCATCTATGACCCAGATAAGTTACCTTTATAAACTGACGAAGAAAGGGGGCTGGACGAGTCTCCGGAAGCATGGTCACTGGCCACTGATTACGTAATTTCATTTCAGTACCGACTATGCTATGCTAATTTACGTTCCAGATAAAGTTAATTGGTACGGGTAATATAGTATTTTGAGATCTTATCAAAATTTCAATGTACACAGGGGGGGGGGAGGAGATAACTGGCTTCCAATATTAGGGGAGAGGGGTGTGCGATAGACTTACCTCCACGTGGTGCACCCTAGGCAACGTATACCCATACGACAAAATAGTCTAATAATCGGCAATTGACTTCTGACTTCAAGCTACCACGACCCCGGTGTATGTCATATTCCACAACTTCCACAGTACTCATCTCACCTCTTCTCTACCCTTGTGTCTGTTTGTCTCTTTAACATCTGTGCATCACTCTTCTGTTGCATACCTTTCGACTTTCTGTTACCCTGATGTTCCTTCCCCTGTGAAGCCCGAAGTCAGCTAAAGGGTAATGATAGCTATCAAAACGCCTGTCATTTGAAATAAATAAATAAATAAATGTTAGGGGTGAAGGTTTTACAAATTAAGCAATGCTTTCTTTTCGATTTGAAGTTCAACCAGTTATTCTGTGATGAACAAACTCCACAGATTCGCTCTCAATACGCTGCAAACTAACAGGCGAATTCAACAGGTCTTTAAGTGACTTTGAAAACAGGCATAGTAAAAATTCATTTCCCTCCAAAATATTTCCAAAGTATTAGCAAATATATAGTCTTATACAACGCGCTGAATGAATATGCTGATGTTTTGGAGGGTAGTAATGGAAATGAAGCATAAATCATTTATTACCTGGTATTGAGTCAACCGTCGTTATCAGCTAACTCGAATACTCTGTGTATAACTCATACAAATTTAGCCGATTTAATTCGATAGCCTGAGCATTTTCTTCCATCGTCCGTACCTTGTTCAAGACTGGTTTATCAGTAATCAATCATACTTACACTGCTTATGGCATGAACACTAACAAAGCTGGCCAATCATACTGTCGAGGAGTTCGTGTTTAATGAGAAAGATTAATTTATGTCCACGAGAAATTAAATTATCGATTTATCGTTACTCACTCGTAAAAGTTGCGTATTCGGAAAGGTGAGTTGAATTATACTCTCGTTGCTTTGCGAAACTGTTGCCAATCCCATGTTATCGTTGAATTCGTGGGATTGGTTTGCAACTGTAGGTTACAATCCAAATGAAAAATAAGCTCTTTTTCTTAATATGTCCAGTTGTTATTCGGCATAGAAACAGCAATATGATTGTTTGTCTTTTAACTTATAGAATCTGCCGATACGTACAATTTTGTTTTCAATCACACCAGCAACACTTTTCCATGGGAACAACTCCTGACTTTGGCACCAGTCGATCGTGCACTAATAAAACAACTCCGCTTCCAGGTATATTTTTCCCGCTTATTTTTTGCACTTCCATTTTTTGTTTAACTCAAATGAGTTTTCCTTTTTCTTATAATAATAATGCCCATTCATTCAAATTTTGAAAATGCGGTGATATATGGATATATATGCATATATTCACGAAGTTCTTTCTCACTTCTTCTTTTTCGTGTTTTCAGCTGGAGGAGATGGAGGAATCGAAAGAACTCCTACTTCGCAAACAGAGAACTCTCACTACTGATTTAGAGGAATGTCAACAACAGCTGAATCAGGAACAAAGGGAACGGCGCGTTGTAGGTCACATGATTGCATCGATATTAAATTAGTATTCTTTATTCAAAACCTGTTTATTTTTTTATTTTTAAATCAATTTCCAATTTCGCATTTTATAATTTATTTCGAACAAAACGTAAGACGGTTCTATATGGGAGAAGATATCTTAGTTTTTTACAGTGAAGATTTTTATTTCATATTTGTTTGAATTAGAATGCTATTGCGGCTGGTAAATGTCGAGCTGTCAAATTTTCCATTTATAAAAGTTGGAGAATAGTTGTATATAATCACTTGTTTCACGTAAAAGAAGATTTTTAAACGAATTTGGGTTGTGATTATCGTTTCCTTAACCGGTTATTCCTTGAGACACTCAGGAAGTTGATTTCTGAGGTGATTGGTAAGCATTTTCACAGGTTTTCACACAGTAACTATTCCACACTCCTGAAATATTATCAGCGTATTACAGCCGCTAAAACTGATCTTCTAACTAAATATAATAGTTACGTTTCCGACTCAAAGAGGGAGAGGCGGGTTGAATGGAAATTCACTTACTTCAAGATTGTCCTTTTATTTATGATATTTAAAGCTTAAAACATAGCTTAATCAATGGCAGTTTAAGATCAGGTAACTGTCAACCTGGAAGGGGGGGCGAGTGTACGAACATTGATGAGGATTTCATACTGAGACCAAACATATAGGCCACCAGGTCTGTTAGGGGGGCACATGCCAATGGAACTAATAGGGACGCTGAACTGGGAGTTCAGTGTTGTTATTATCTAGACCGGACTATTGTGCCATCATGGTGGAGTTTTGCGGTCAAGGCGTAAATGATTCCTACTTCCATCTTTCACACATGGACTTGATGTCCTTTCATATTTATTTGCCTTATCTAAATGATACGACTTAATAAAAGTCTATTTACACCATGCTACCCATAAACATAAACATCGTGGATTGGAGCTTTATTTTGTCATCTTCATATTACCATTCAGCATTTTATACCTAGCTCTACAAACCATTATTTATTTGCTTTATACCGCATGAAACTGCCCGCCTCAATTCGCAGAAACTATTTATACCAAATGGCAGGCTTTATGATAGTTATCATTAGCCCTTTAGTTGACTTCAGGCTTCACAGAGGGAGAGGAACATCAAAGTGAAAAAGTCGAAAGGTGGGGGGGGGGGGTGAACAGATGAGTGTTTTAAAGATGTAAAAGAGACAGACACAAAGGAGGATGAAAGGTGAGGTGAGTACTGTGGAAGTAGTCGAATATGACAACCAGGGGTGTCGTGGTAGTTTGAAGTGAGAAGTCAACTGCCGGTTTATAGACTTTTTTGCCCAGGGTGCACCACGTGGAGGTAAGTCTATCGCACACCCCTATTCGCAAAAACTCAAATATTTAATTTTTGAACTTTAGCTCATTCAGGCTGAGAATCGCATTTAATGCTTCTAATGCAAATAACTCAATGTCAAGCAGGAATGCTCATAAACATTCCTTTTATTAAGTATAGTCACATTATTTAGCTCCGTCTGCTTACAACTTATTTATTTATACCAAATGGCAGGCGTTTTGATAGTCATCATTAGCCCTTTAGTTCACTTCAGGCTTCACAGAGGGGGAAGAACAAAAAAGGGAAAAAAGTCGAGATGGGGGGGGGGAACAGAGGAGTGTTTCAACGATGTAAAAGAGACAGATTGGCACGAAGGCAGTGAAAAGGTAAGGTAAGTACTGTGAAAGTAGTCGAATACGATATGCAGTGGGGTGCTGGTAGTTTGAAGTCGGAAGTCAACTGCCAGCTAATAGACTTTTTTGCCGCATGATAACTAAGTGGACATGGTCACGTGATTTCCATATCTCATTCCAGGGCGCATTGATAGGTATAGAGGCAACGGATTTGCAAATGTTAAAATATATATATATATATATATATATATATATATATATATCAAATGGCAGGCGTTATGATAGGTATCATTAGCCCTTTAGTTGACTTCGTGCTTAACAGAAAGAGGAACACCAAAAAGGCAAAAAGTCGAGAGGGGGGTCAGAATAATGATTCACAGACGTAAAAGAGACAGACACAAAGGTAGAAAAATGTGAGTACTGTGGAATTAGTCGAATATGAAATGCGGCGGGGTCTTGGTAGTTTGAAGTCAGAAGTCAACTGCCGATTAATAGACTTTTTTGCCGTATGAGCATACGTTGCCCAGGGTGCACCACGTGGAGGTAAGTCTATTGCACACCCCATGTTAAAATATAAAACTTACGATTTGATGACTCCTATTGAGAGTTTTCTCTCCTTAAACAAATTTGACACAATGTCGAATTGTTGCTAAAATGATATGGTTACTCTTTTCCACGTTCTAAGGTAGAATATTTTATACAGCAGTTGAACATTTCAACTTACCTCCACACCCCTATCTTGCTGTTTTTTTTTATTCCAATGCATTTGGTAAAAAATTCTTTAAAAATTTGCTACTTGCCGAAAGTTGAAATGTTAAGTAGCTTTAAACTATTTGAACCATGGTATTTGTATTTCCTTTTTAAATTCACTCATTAAACGAAACTTCTTGAAGTAAAAAATGGTCGATAGTCATTGGAGGAGGGGGGGGGGGGCTGTTCCCTATTTCCTAGTCTACTTTATTTTGGCTAAAGCACACCAGTATACATTTCAACATTACGCTTTGACATTACTAATACTATATAATGAAATGCTTAATTGTGTTTAAATGCAGTAAAAAGTAATTTTAAGAATATTTTAAGGCTGAGTTGCGATGTCAGACAGCCCAACGTGAGAACACTGATCTTCAATGCCGAGTGGAGGAATTGGAAGAAGAGTTAGAGGAAAATAGTCGACGTCAACGTCGTGCTGCTATTTCGAGCACCTCAGCATCATCTCCGAGCGTCAATTCATACGCTAATGAATTATATCAACTCATCGACGAACGAAATTCTATGCGTGAGGAGATCGCCAATTTACAGGAGCGTTTGACAACTGCCAACGCTGAGAAAGCCGGGGTATGTTTCACCTGTACCTATGATATGCTAATTTTGAACAAGAGTATGTAGTTGACAATCTTGTGTCTTAACACTAGGCTGCAGATATGGAATTGGTCTATCTTAAGGCCAAGGTTCATGAGCTAGAAGGTCGTCTGGAACTAGAGACTTCGACAAAACAGCGACTTCAATCAACGGTTGACCGCCTCAAATCCCAGATCGATCAAATGGGTTCTGAACGTGAGCGTCTGTTAACCACAGTTCAGTACGAACGTGAAAAGGGTCGTCAGCTCGCTCGAAATCTTCGTGAGGCTGAGGAAGAAAAGGAACGGGCAGATAGACGACTGGAGGAGCATAAGCGCTCGGGGAGCACCTCAAATGACGCTGTTTCCGCTTGTGTTCAAGAACAGCTCCGACTTCAACAGGAACTGTCTCATCTCCTGATCCGATGTAAAGAAGAGGAGTTAAAGTCTGTAATGCGACGATCCCGAAAAATAAATAATGCAGACGATTATGGTGATAGTGACAATTATAACGAGGATATGGACTCCGAAGCCGAACTCGAAGATGTGTATGCGAGTGAAACAAATGATGACAATGGGTATAAGATGAAAATTTCGTTAAATGGATCAGCTGGCGGAAGTGTGGAGGCTATTGAAAGCAACAATTAAGGAAGCCTTTTTCTTCTGTTTACAAACCCTTTCGTCCACGCTTGTTTATTTACACTTTGACTATAGCGCTTTACACTCATGAAGTATCGTGTGATGTATTTCCTTGGCTTTTGATAGAATATTAATATTTTTAAACTCAATTTTTCAAAAATATTTATTCGATTAGCATTAGCTATTATTGAAGTTGGGTCGAGAATATGTAACTATAAATCAGAGTATTAATTTGTAACAACACAGAGTGGTTGGAATTAGTCCACGATAGGGAAATCAGAGTGGATTAAAAAACAGGTCAAAGAAGCCGGATTTATTTTTGTTTTTTATGATATATTTACTACGGAACGTTAATAAAATATCCTTAGGTTTTCTTGAATTAATTGAAGAAATATTTTTAAGCGCCATTGTGTTGTTATTATTTGAAAACCGATAAAGATCAGCAGACATAAAAAATAATCTATTTGTTAATGAATTGTCTTCCTATTACATAGGAGTACAAATTGGTTTGGGAACATAAGTCACCAGTTAAATACTTGCTTATAAATACCAAAGTAAACAAGTTTATTCATTTGCACACCCATGTAGCGGGTTGCTACGCTAGTAAAGCCTGACCGACTCAGATTCTCCAACATCTAGCTAGACTCCCAGAACAAGCTAAGCTATAGCCCAGCTATAAGGGAAACAGACGTGTAGCACGGAATACGTTTATTCAGTACGTATATTGATAGCGAATTGTCATTTTGGTAAAGCGATTAGTTATCAGATAAATCTAGCATAATTCGCGTGAACATTAATAGCTAAATATCTCTGAATATTGTTCTGTAGCAGGATTTCTATTGGTCATTGATGAAGTGTACCGCACCCAATTGTTTTAATTCATTTCCTCTTCAAAAAACACATTTTCTTTTATTAACTAAGTATGAAAAATGGACTTTAATTTAAGCATCTTTATTTATTGCTCATGGGAATGTTATAATCATTAAAAGAATAATAAATATTAAAAATAAGCTCGTTTTACAGAAGACACATTATATCTTCGGAGGGAAAAGAAAATTATTGAATAGGTTGATCAAACAATTTTGCTATGTTATTTTTACTGAATAATGAGATTTAATATGTCATACTTTAATAGATTTAGTGAAAAAATGTGTCTTTATCAATAAAGAGAATATGGCCTTCTGAATGCTAAACAATTAAAATAGTATTTAATCTTTTTTCAGAATTTTAATTTGTTAATTCTTGATTATATTAGCGGAAATATTATTTATTTATTTATTATTGTATTCCTTGACATTGTTTGTACATACGAATAGCTCGTATTTTATTGGAGCGCATTGCACGCACTTACTCTATATTCGCTTTTGGTACGATTGGTTTCTTTTATGGTATATCATCAACAATAAGTGAAATTTCATTTGTCAAATGGCGAATTATAATATAGGCCTTATGAGTTTGGATGGAGACATGGATGAATTTGGCAATTTGAGTAAGTTTATGGCTACTCATCGATTATTTTTAGTGATGTCCGAATCGAGATTTCCACTTCAACTTACAGATGAGGAGTACGACGAAGTTAAGGTAATTTATTGGATATTTCGTTAGTATATCATTATATTTCAGACTAAAATTTCTTCAGATCTTCGAATTGGTAGTTCCTTTCAAATCGGCGAAAAAATGTCTTTCGAATCGGCCTTCGAGGCTACTAAAAACCGTAAACCGCATTTTGAATCTAATAGATATGTAAATCACACCCGAATTGGTAAAGCACCAATAATAACGCCAACACATTTGCTATTCTCAAGAGAGTATGGCCTATTTCGTTCAACGTCCCATCACTATGGATTATACAATATTTGTCCGCAGAATTATTTCTCTTCCTCAAGAGCTGACTATTGTTTTCGAAGATGGCCTCCAAAGCAGGACTTTAAAAGCCATTTAATGGGCAACCCTTGGTCTGTAGCATCTCTTAGATTATCTGGTGTATATGAAGTAGGTTATCCGTCTTTGAATGCTCTTGTTCTTTTTTTACATTTCTCAAAAATTATAACGATTACTTTTATAAATTTAGTATCATTATGGTTGTGTCAACGCAATAACCTTCAACTCTTCAGGACAACTTATCGCTTCTGGTTCTGATGATCGACATGTTGCTATAATGAATACTTTTACTGGTGATTTGATAACTCGTTACAAAACGGGGCATTCGCGAAATGTCTTTCAAGTACGTTTATCTAATGGAATCTTTGCTTATTCATCTACCTTTTTTAATATCAGCTTTGTTTATTTACCTATTATTTCTTGTAAGGTCGGTAACGTTTGTCAGTTAGGGCTTGACATTTAGAGTAATTTATACTAATTTCTCTACCCTCACGACCTTAACAATTAACTTCTTTAAATGATAACGTTTAGTGGGTGAGTTACTAAGTTGACCTCAGCAGTACTTAATAATGTTTTTTAAGGTCGTGATTGCCTTTTCAATTTTTAATCTTTTAAGTTTTTATTTGGGTTTCTCTTTTGTTTTAAACCCTGTTAGACCTGAAGTCCTAACATAGCACCGGGGTTTTCCGAAAATCCACCCGGGGCGATTAAATGGAAAATTCCATTCCACTCGAATGATCGTCTATGGCCGATAATACAAAATTAATTGTGGATTTACGGATCTACTTTCCGTTCATAGTAGTGTTAAGTTCCAGTCCTAAATTTAAACAAAGTTGTCGCTTATTGCCCCTAACATGTTATTGAAATAAATGCTCTTAAATAATCTATTTTGCTACAAATTGATATCTTTATTCATGCAATGAAAGAGTGGTTATATAAATCGTAAGTTTTATGTAAGACAGAAATAGATGCAAATATCATGGGGGCTAGAAAGTGGGAGCAAACGGTTGCGTTGTCATCGTGACCACAACCCTCTTAAGCAGAGTGCTTTCTAAATGAATATGTGGGTGCTTCTGTTTAGTCTGGCGAAGGTTTAAATCTACTTCCAAATCCTCAGTACCAAGACACTTGGAGGCTTACACACTCGGCTGAGCATTAGTCGTTGAAATTTTCTTTCAAATATCATTTCGCTTACGCAGTTGGGCGAAATAATTATTCAAGCCATTTTTACTTTCAGCCAATATGGACACAGAGGCAAGGGAAGCACATAAATGTGTTGAGTTAGTGAAATAGCCTGGATGGACATTGGGTCGTATCTTACTTTGCATATTGTATGAATTTATTAATTCTAATATCTACGGAAATTCGCCTTTAGGTGAAATTCATACCCGACTCAGGTGACTTGAAGTTGGTAAGTTCTGCACTTGACGGCGATGTTCGCCTGGCGGAGTTGCGTCCAGATGGTGAATTGGCTCGTTCTCCCCATCTTCTGGTCAGTCACCAGCAGGCATGTCATAGCATCCTCTTCCTTCCTGACCAACCTTCTGTCCTCTTAACTGCTGGAGAAGATGGTATTGTATACTCCATCGATCTCCGTACCAATGAACACCACCCGTAAGTTACTTTCGTTAATTGTATAATCAATTAGTGAGTGAGAGCCTGTTCAGCGTATTATTTTATTGTACTAATGAAGCCACTAACGTCGTTACGGAGTTAACCTAGAGATCTACCCGGTTTATTGGATTGAAAATGCATAAGTGCCATCTTAAAGGTCTGCAAATTCAAATGTCGCGAGATCGTTTCTCATTGGGGCACATTTAACTTAAGAAGTACCGATCAGGCAATGTGATAAAAGTAAAACCTTAGATAGTTAAACCCCATTTTCCAGTCCCCCCGTAGCCAACAAAGTTATTGCTGTTAATTTAGTGGGAATAATATGCTGAGTCTTGTGGTCCCGATCAGATTAGACTAGATCACCATTTAAAGCGATTACTGATATGTTAAAAGACAGTGGTACTGTTGGTGACATGCCTTATGTTGTCATAATTGCTTCATAAAGGCATTTGTGCGAATTTGAATTCTGAATTTTACACCATAGTGGTGTTCAAATGTGGGAAAAATGGTACAATCAATGGTAGCCCATCTCTATTGACTCAAACGTTGTCAGTAAGTTATTTATTACATACAATCCCAAGTCCGCTTTGAGAAGTGTTATCGACGCTTAACTTGAACGAGAGTGGTGCTTATTTCCTCTCTTATTGACCAGAGTTAATTAGTGTGGTTGGTTACCACATCACCGAAGGTGTGCCGATGAGCATTGATTTCGTGGTGGTGGTGGTGGTGGCGGAGGCGAGTACCTTTCGGGGAATAGTCTGCCACAGAGTAAAGGTAAAGTTCAGATGCCAGACAAGCACTTTATTTACATTCTGGAGACTGGTAAAGAAGCCAATCTCAAAGGGCAAAACTCGATGGTAAAGAAATTGTGGTGACCGCTGCATCCAAAAATTGGGTCACTGCTCACCCCCCCCCTCCAACCCCTTCTATTTGATTGCCAGGGAAGTGAAGAATTTGCTTCCTTTGTCTCAGCTTTTATAAAGGGTCAAATTTATTGTTTTCCTTGTGAAATGAGGCCAAATTTTGTATCGGGTGAACGATGGTAATATGGAAAATCCCAAAATAGCATTTGAGCTAGTGCCGTTCGTTTTGTTGCTTTCTCTTGCAAGGGCATAGGTCTCAAATGCTGCCCTTTTTATCTGTAGGAGCGCATTGAGCCTCAAATAAAGCCTCGAGAATTAGAGGCAGCCAAATCGTCTAATGAGGAATGGGGAATTTGAATGAAAAAGAGGCTGTTTCGATGTGAGTTCAAGCATTGCTCATGAAGATATGATAGGGGGGGGGGGGGGGGGGGGGGTGAGGAGAGAAAGGGAGACATTTTTTGAGACGATATCTAGCCTTCCTGTCAAATTGGTTTTGGAATCGTTTCAATTGTGATTGCCCAAACGCACTGAATCAATAATTTAATGCATCAAACAATGACGACGTGCCATTTGGCGAATGATTTTACCATGATGTGGAAGTGACGTGCCTGTGGAATGAGATCAATGTTATGCCTTCTGTATAAAACAAAATAAAGATTTTTTTATTCCTGGAAAATAAGAATCATATTACCTTTGCATATCTTTCTAGAGACAAGACGAAACTGATTATTGAAGGATAGCTTATGACCAATTTGTAGTGAAGGAGGCACGATAAGATCTGTTTAACGTCCCTAAATTACATTGTTCTCCATACACTCCTCAAGTTGCAGATGGCTTAATTTAAAAGTCAAATAATGAGACCAATGGAATTCTGAACTACCTTACTTTTATTTTAGAATACTAAGTCTACCATTGATGCCTTTCTATTCGATCGCAATAAACCCAGTCAAGCCAGCAGAGTTTTGTGTCGGTGGAAAGTATGATCCTTATGTCAAGTTAGTATCCGCTTATTATATATATATATCTGATTCTTCTTACCATTTGATTAATGACTATTTATTGCTTATTTCCTTCTCGTATTAGGGTGTTCGATCGTCGCAAAATACCTTCAGCAGAATCCCCTCTTGATGGCTACCTCTTTAGGTTTGCTCCTCATCATTTGGTCGAGTCCAGCAGCAATGGTACAAACAATGCTGCACCTGCTCTTTCTAGCAATGCCGAAG